ACCCCTAAATATTACAATATCACCTCTCTATGTAGTAACCTGACAACATGTTGTTGTAACCTCACTTATAATGATTACATCTTTCTCACATACTGGAGTAATTTTACCTTTACCCATTATAAGTGTTCATTTTTAGTCGATAAACTTATTTTTCTTTCAATTGGTAACTTTACCTCAATAAGTGATAATCTTATTATTAAAATTGTAATCATACCTATAAACGCAGTAACCTTACCTTTCCATGTTATAACCTCACCCCTAAAGGTTATCTCTTTGCCACTCACAGCCATAATTTAACCTTTATGTATTGTAACTCTCCCTCAATAGTGGATATAGTTACCTTTCAATGCGTAACTTAGCCTAACTAGGTCATAACTTTATTTTTAATATTGTCATATTCCCTATACAAATTGTAACCTTACATCAAACATCAACATATAGTAACCTTTTATCAAAATGTTATAACCTCACCCATAACAATTATCTCTTTGCCACTGATTGGCGTAATTCTACCAATATTTGTAATAACCTTCCCTCTATTATACATAACTTTACCAATTAATGAATAACTTATCTCACATCACCTGTAAACCCACTAGTACAAGTTGTAATCTTTCCTACAAAATTGTAACCTTACTTTTAATGTCCATAACATTAAATCTTAAGATCAATTTGTATTGTGTATGATCGATCCTAATTCCCCATTCCCCATTCCCCCCATAGAAAAGACGCTCCCCCAGTAAAATTGTAACATAAGAACAAACAAAAAAAATAAATTAGATCGATCATGTGCATGTCCGATCGATCTTAATTTTCCTTACATAATTTCAATAGAATACAGAACTAAGATTTTGAACCAAAAAAAAAAAAAAATTAACCGAACTAAGATCGATCATGTGCATGTACGATCGATCTTAATTTTCCTTACATAATTTCAATAGAATTCTGAACTAAGATTTTCAACAAAATAAAAAAATAAACCGAACTAGGATCGATCATGTGCATATTCAATCGATCTTAATTTTCTTTACATAATTTTAATATAATGCAGAACTAAGATTTTGAACAAAAAAAAATTAAAAAAATAAACCGAACTAGGATCGATCGTAAATAATTAAGATCGATCATAATTTCATTATTTTAATTTCAAAATTGCACTGTATGATTAATCTTTATTGTGTATGATTGATCCCAATTCTCAATTCCCCCTATAGAAAAGATGCTCCCCCAATAAGGCTGTAACATAAGTACAAAGAAAAAAAATAAATTAAATCCATCATGTTTATATATGATCGTTCTTATTTTTCCCTTTATTCACCAGCTGAGTAAGTTATAGGTTTACGACACATGCTTATAAAAAAAAAATTAAATCATCAGATCAATGGTTCTGCACTGATGAGCAAACATCAACGTCTCCCAGGAGATTTTCGGTACAGCACCGAATGTTGACTTTCGGTACCGAAGCCTCTCCCTGTATATACACCTGAAACATGCATGTACTAGTGTAGAAAGTTAAATCCAAGAAAGTCTCATTGAATGTAACAGATGAAATACACTTCCTTGATATACGCAATCGCCGGCGTGAAAAAAAAGAAGAATGACTCTATCAAAATGGGACTTGGAAACCTGTTTAAAAGGCTGCCTTGGAAATCTTTTGACAGTAACTGACACATTATTGAAGTAACAATTTTTCATTGGTGTTGAGTCTGCCAGCTTGGTATTTATCAGTACGTAAAATTTTCTCGTCAAAATGGGAGGCTTTTGACAGGCGGCTCCTCTTTGAAACCAAAAAAGAAAAATCTTGCGTGCACCTGGAGAATGGAGCACATGCCCAGAAAGTCAAATAGTTTGGCAGACGAACGAACTGTCAAAATGGGAGGCTTTTGACAGGCGGCCTCCTCCCGGAAGAACTTCCGGCGGCAGCAAGGCAAGCAGTACATACTACATTGCCGTACATCTAAGCTCGTGTTTAGTACAATATTTTCTAGCACTAAGCTGTTACATTCTGATCGTCGTCAGTGTGATAAACCAATATATAAATTAATTATTAATACGTTAATTAGATTATTAATTATTACTTTATATAATTAAGAATTGTTTTAAAAAAAATTTCAAAAAAATAAATAGATTTCCAATATGAATTTTTTACGTCGAAACAAGAAAATTAAATATAATATAGTCATGAATCACATTAAAAATAAATAAAAAGATGTAATGCTCAAATGATATAATAAATGGTTAAAATAATGTAGTATGTATATATATATTTACTTGGATAAAACATAGATATTTGTCCATGTTGATGTTAATTTTATTACGTCATCAATGACGTGAGAGGGGGTGAAGATGGCTATAAATAGCCTGCCTTGTGGCGTTTTGAACAACACGGCAGGAGGGAGGGAGGGAAGAAAAAAGAAAGGCAGAAAAGTATACGAGGTTTTGGGATTAAAAATTGAGCGATAATTTCAATTTAAATCACTACTAAATTTATTTATTTGATTCACAGTATTTTGAATTTCGCATTTATTGAAGTCATTGGTGATTTGAGGTACGGTATAGTATATAATATGTTTATGTTTTTAAAATCTCTTTACAAAGAGTATCTTTTGATTATCTGAAATTTATTTTTCTATTAAGTATTCTGATACATGTACGAAGTGTACCGAGTACGAGGCTATGTTTAATAACAGTTGAGTTATGTGGCCTGTCGAATGTGATTCTTGATTTTGTTATCCATNTGAAGTGTACCGAGTATGAGGCTATGTTTAATAACAGTTGAGTTATGTGGCCTGTCGAACGTGATTCTTGATTTTGTTATCCATGATCTTTATCATCTGAATTAATTGATATTTGGTCATCCATATTTTTTCTCGTTGAACATATTGTTTCTTGTCATATTGTATACTTCCATACTTTTAATATTTTTTTTTAAGATAATTTCGGAAGGAATGACCAAAATTGATATTTGGGAAATCGAAGATTGACGAATTTTGATATATATATATTTTTAATTTTTATTGGTGTTTAGAGATTAAAATTGTGAGTATAAATTTATTGAGACAATTAGAGCTCTGTCCCTGTATTCAAAGATATTTGTGATTTATTATGATTTATTGATTTAATAAAATAACGCGTCTCGAAAAATGGACGTTACAATCTGCCTTCAGAATATTGATTAAGGATAGTGGTGAGAAAAATGTAGAAATTTTTTGACCAAGTTGTGATTCAAAAATGATAAGTTAGAAGAAGTTGAGATTGGGGTTAAGTTTTTTTTGGGTTGGTCTTAATTTTTTTTTGGGTCGATTTTAAGTCGATCCCATTGAGTTTTAACTTGTATGAATGTGATTTGTAATTTAAATCTCACAGCTTGTTAGGCACAGCAAGGCTGCATCTGATTCTTGTACTCATTCTACTCTTAGAAAAATTTAAATCATCATAATAAATTGTGCGTGGTGATTTTTGCATAATAAACAAAAAGACAATTATCTCCCTTAGTGAACTCATATTTAACTCAAAAATCGACGGTCTCTTAGCAAAGGGATGCCAAAAAGAGCCTAAGAAGTGGTGATAAATTATTTTTTCAGTTGTCCGATCAATTCCAGCGAGCCTAAGGCTCTTTCTGACACTCAAAAGAAGCGTTAGAAGGGCATCGGAGTATTTTTCAGTATATCCTCTCTAACGGTCAAGTCAATTTATGTGAGAGAGGGAATAAGAAAAGTATTGTGTATGTTTTAGGGTTAAATTGCGTACTTTTGCCTTCAGATTTTTACCATTATTTATATCTTCATTGAGGCCATCATTGCTGACAGGTAGATCCCTCTAAGAAGAGATCCTCAGTTGCCCATTTGGGAGGTAGTAGGAGGTGGTGCCCAATCCTTGGGCAGAGCGCCTCCTTTCTTGCGTGGGAGGCCAATCAACATTAAACTCTCAGGCCCCTGAGCACTCAATGCCCTTCCTTCGAGGTCCTCTGGACAGTAACCACGTTTCATCCTTCTGAGGGATCTTTAAAAATTCTTCTGGGATTGCTATGTGCTACCAGGGATATTGTTGTCAATTTGCCCCCAATTCTGTACATCGTGCCACGTGTTCGATTCCCTTTGATTGCGGGTTATGTCTTTTCTGCCTTTTTGACTTCTTGGAGAAGGAAAGTCAATAATTCATTGTCTAACTCTGATTTCAACAGGCTGTAATCGTCAATAATCTGTCTTGGAGCCAAGGTAACGTGTCCGAAAATAGTTCTCGGGATCTAATCAAGTCGAGGACATGTGTCAGAGTCCCAGGGCTCCAAGAGTCATAAACTGAGGACACGTGTCAGATGCAAATAGGCAGAGGATGTCAGTGCCGAGGACACATGTCCTCCTCAGAGTGCTAGAAGATATCTTCGGTGTCGAGGACACGTGTCTTCCCAAACTAGTAGAGATGTTCATAGTGCCGAGGACGCGTGTCTTCACCTTAATGATAGCGGTATTCTCAATGTCGATGACACGTGTCTTCACCAAAATGGTGGAGGTGTCCCTGGTACCGAAGACACGTGTTTACACCTGAATAGTGAGAATGTCTTCAGTATCGAGGATACGTGTCAATTTCATATTTTTTCTTTGAAGAATCTCATCATAAATAATAATTAAATGAATTCATGATTAAACAGGTGGATTCATAATGATTATACAACTGGAGGGGTAAGTAATATCTATGATATTGACATCTATGTTTAGGAAACGACAGTATCATTGAAATTTTTTCATAGGTAGGTGAGATTATAGTTATTTATGATACAAATATTTTATAATCGATTAAGAAATATTGTGCACTATTATGTGTCAGCTTAATAGTATATTTTTATACGCATGTGGTGATATCCAGCTGACATGTGCAGGGATTTTAATAGGTCATCCTTTTTTTTTTTTTTTAACAAATAATAGGTCATCTTATCTACCAATGCTTTTGGATTCTTTTCAGTTGTGGAATATTTAACAATAAAGCTCACAAAGCACCAAAAAATGGCGAATATTCAGAGCTCAAACGGTGATTGGTTTAAGGTGACTTCTGTGATTCTGAATCTATTTCTTCTATTTTTTTCATTTGTGGGAGCCAACTGGAAGCTTAGCTGGAGTGAGAAAGCAGCAGCAGAAGCTGAAGCTGTGGCTTCAGTCTCATGCTCAGGCCATGGAAGAGTCTACTTGGATAGTCTTCTTCTTGACGGAAATCCAATTTGTGAGTGCAACACCTGCTTTTCTGGCCCTGATTGCTCACAATTCATAGCTGGGTGTGATGCAAATGTAAATAGGTAACTTCTCTGTTTCTGTGAGATCACAAATTTTTAGTGGTAGTTAAATATACAATATTATGAGTTTTGATGTGAAAGAATAAGGAATATTTAAGTTTTGTGGTTGATATATATAATAAGTGAAACAAAGGGGAGTAAAATATAAATATTTCAACTTTTATGATTCTTTGGTCTTCACCCATGTGAAGACTTTGGAAAAAAAAAATAAAAGAGACAAGACAAGGTAAAGAAAAAGAAAGAGAGAGAAAGAATAAAGAAATTCATGGAGTAAATGAAAGTAGTTAACATTGAATACGTAGTAAAAAAATGTGTGTGTGTGTACTGGTTTGTTGAAACTGTGAGTAAAAAAGAATAAAATAAAGGGAAGAAAAATATATGTGTTTGTGTGTGTTAAGCCAAGAGCAAAAGTGGAAGAGAGGGAAGGAGAAAACAAATCTTGATGGGTGTTTTTAGTTCAAACCGAGAAAAAGAAAAATGAAACAAAAATCAGAGTTATCGAATTCACATAATAATTCTGAGGTACAGGGTAATATGCAATTTGTTCTCCTTAAATCTCTTTGTAAAGAGTATTTCTTGATTTATCCTCTGATTTGTATTCCAACTTGTGCTATCGTTATTTTAGAATTTCAATTGAATATTGTTGAATATTTTGATCTCATTGATCGTGTTCTTGATATCATTGATCATGTTCTGTGAATATTGAGACGGGATCGTGACAGCCAATAGCCGATGCATCGCCAACCAAGAGACCCGTGGGATCAGGTTGAGGTGGGATGATTGGTGAGGTGTTAGATCTGTGTTAAGATTCTGCATGACGTGTGATATATAAATTTGATATTTGTATCTGTTGAATGAGATACTTTGTGATAGTCGATTATTTGTTATTTAATGTCCTTGAGCATATTTTTCCTCGTCATAATATATACTTCTCTGTTTTATTTAATATTTTCAGATTGATTTTAGAGAAAAGATCGGAATGAGATAATCAGAGTATTAAAGACGAGAAGATAACATAATTGATGTTTATTTGTATTGAGAGATTTTTTTATGGTGACGGATTTATTTGTATTGGAAGATGATTTTGATAAATAAAATTTTATTGGGATAATTAGCGCTCTGTTATTTTTATTTGGGTCTTTTTATATCAATTAACGTCTCCGAAAAGAAGAGAAAAATCGGAATGTTACAAATGGTATCAGAGCTTAGGCTTCAGATCTTATATAGGATTTGTGGGAAATGAGTTCACTGTGTTTTCGTTGTGTTTTATTTGGTGGTGCAAGTTCTGAACACTTGGAATGTAGAATTGATGTAATAGTATAGCACAGACTTTTGGTTTAGTGAATTGAGAGAAAGTTAGTGTAATTATACTTTTATTGAAAAAAAATTCAATGACACCCCTTTCTTTTGAACAATAAGCACTTTATATTCTTTTTCTTTCTCGTGTGACACTTTGCAGCCAACAAATTTTTGGATTCTTGGTGAACTAAGGAATTTCAGGGACGAAATTCTTTTAAAGAGCGTAGATTGTGAGATTCCAAATTTTTAGAGGTAGTTAAGTATAAAATATTATGAGTTTTGATGTGAAAGAATAAAGAATATTTAAGTTTTGTGGTTGATATATATAATAAGTGAAACAAAGGGGAGTAAAATATAAATATTTCAATTTTTATGATTCTTTGGCTTTCACCCACGTGAAGACTTTGAAAAAAAAATAAAAGAGACAAGACAAGGTAAAGAAAAAGAAAGAGAGAGAAAGAATAAAGAAATTCATGGAGTAAATGAATGTAGTTAACATTGAATATGTTGTAAAAAAATGTGTGTGTGTGTGTACTGGTTTGTTGAAACTGTGAGTAAATGAGAATAANTAGTTAACATTGAATATGTTGTAGAAAAATGTGTGTGTGTGTACTGGTTTGTTGAAACTATGAGTGAATGAGAATAAAATAAAGGGAAGAAAAATATATGCGTTTGTGTGTGTTAAGCCAAGAGCAAAGGTGGAAGAGAGAGAGCGAAAAAACAAATCTTGGTGGGTATTTTTAGTTCAAATCGGGAGGAAGAAAAATGAAACAGAAATCAGAGTTATCGAATTCACATAATGATTCTGAGGTACGGGATAATATACAATATGCTCTCCTCAAATCTCTTTGTAAAGAATATTTCTGGATTTATCCTCTGATTTGTATTCTAACTTGTGCTATCGTTATTTTAGAATTTCGATTGAATATGGTTGAATATTTTGATCTCATTGATCGTGTTCTTGATATCATCGATCATTTTCTATGGACATTGAAACGGGATCGTGGTAGCCAATAGCCTATGCATCGCCAACCAAGAGACCCGTGAGATCTGGTTGAGGTGGGATGTATGGTGAGGTGTTAGATCTGTCTTAAGATTCTGCATGACGTGTGATATGCAAATTTGATATTTGTATCTGTTAAATGAGATACTTTGTGATAGTCGATTATTTGTTATTCAATGTCCTTGAGCATATTTTTTCTCGTCATATTATATACTTTCCCGCTTTATTTAATATTTTCAGGTTGATTTTAGAAAAAAGATCGGAATGAGATAATCAGAGTATTAAAGACGAGGAGATAACATAATTGATGTTTATTTGTATTGGGAGATTTTTTTATGGTGACATATTTATTTGTATTGGAAGATGATTTTGATAAATGAAATTTTATTGGGATAATTAGCTCTTTGTTATTTTTATTTGGGTCTTTTTATATCAATTAACATATCTGAAAAGAAGAGAAAAATTGGAGCGTTACAGTTTCTCTCTCCTATTTTTTTGCAAGAAGCTTAATGACACGAGATACCGGTCAAATCTTACCTGACTCAGACCAATGACAAAATATTTATGATAAAAAAAACTTTTTTTTTTTGCATAAAACATTGGGAATTTCTCATATCACTCCTTATGGGTAGTTGCATGGTTGAGAGTTTTACTAGATTTGTTTGCCAATATGGAGAGGCATCCTCTTGTTTTGAAAGGTGTCAAGGCATTTGTGCAGTTTTGACCATCATTTAATTTTAGGTATTGCCGTGTTTTGTGTCTAATTTCCTCCTCCTCCCTTTTTTCTCAAAGGGATAATGGCAAAATTTACAAGTGAGAGTTCTTTTGGAGGTCCCCGCCAACTTTTTAGGGTTAACTGTATATAAATTGATATGATAACAAAGTTATGTTCAATTTATCTCATTGCCCCTCCTAAAATTTTTGAAAATTTAAATAGTGGCCCTAATCTTTTTTTGTCTTTAATAAGTTAGTGGTTCACTTGTTCTCATAATCTACTAAAACAAGTGTTTTTTTTATTAAAATAAGTAGTAAAAATGATGTGTGATTCTTTAACTCATTATATATATTAGTCAAATACAATATCTCTCTTATTCAATACAACTTCTCCTATTTTTTTAATATTATTGTATAATAACATACGAACAGATGCAAATGATAAGTTATGCACATTTATGCCCTTCCAAAAATATCAATTTCTCAACAAGATTTAAAAAATTACGTACAAATTTATCATAAAATTGATTAATTATAGATATTCTTAAGATTTAAAACAATATAACAATTCTGAAAATATTAATTTCTGAACAAAGTTAAAAGAAAATTGCTTAAAAAATTATCGTAGAATTGATTAGTTATAGATGATTTTTGAGATTTTAAACAATATCATTGTGTTTTTCTTTAATATATGATTGTGTTACAATTTGTCACAAAAAAAATTATTGTTCTTGTTTGTTCATATTTTGTTAAATGCTGAATTGATTTATTTTTATATAAATTATGTTAATATGTTTCTCTAGTTGAACTTTAAAAAAAAAAACACTCTGCAAAATTCATCAATCCTTATTATTGAAGGTGGGGGAGAATTTTTTATGCCAATTGATTAATCTTTTTCATTTATATTTTTGCCCCCACTAGAACATAATCCTGTCTCCACCCCTGGTTGGGATCAATCTTAAATTGAGGATTGGTTCAAATGACCTTATTTTGTCGTAAGTTCACCTTGTAACCTCACCCGATTGAGAAAGTAACCTTTGGTATCTGTGCCCAATTATTAACAATTGCCTAGACTCAAATCATCCTTATTTTGTTATTTTGGTCTATTGTTGAATGCAGTGGAGATCCACTGTTTTTGGAGCCTTTCTGGATGCAGCATGCTGCTAGCAGTGCACTTCTTGTGGCAGGTTGGCACAGGATGAGCTATTCATTCAGTGATGGCTCTTATATGTCACAACAGCTCGAGAAACGCATCCGCAAAGTACATGAAATCGTCGGGAACGCCAACACAACCGGAAGATTCATTGTTTTTGGTTCAGGCTCAATTCTGCTGCTAAATGCTGCAGTTTATGCTCTTTCCCTTGATAACTCCTCCTCCCCTGCAGGGGTCGTAGCCTCAATTCCTTATTATCCGGTCGTTCTAATACCTAAACAACTCTCCTTTTTTGCGATATATGCCCCCTCCCAGACCCCGTTAATGGAGATTGAACTGAGTGTTATTTATTTTTTTTTTTTTGACTAGTTCTTCTTGAAGGATACTAACAAAAATCGTGTTTTTGCAGGCTTATAAAGAGCAGACCAATTTCTTCCGATCCTTGGACTATAGATTTATTGGAGATACATCTATGTGGGAGAACACTTCGGATGTCAAAACCAATGTCATTGAGTTTGTAACTTCACCCAACAATCCTGATGCTCAGTTGAAAAAAGCAGTTCTGCAAGGCCCATTTGTCAAAACAATTTATGATCATGCCTACTATTGGCCTCATTTTACTGCAATTCCAGCTCCAGCAGATGAAGATCTCATGATATTTACACTTTCTAAGCTTACTGGCCATGCTGGCTCTAGATTTGGGTAAAACCATCATCACTCTACTTTACAGTTAAGTACTTAACATTGGGCCTTTATAGGCTAAGACTAGTACGGGTTCAGTACCATACCTAGTCTTACAACTGAATAAGGGTTAGTTACAAATGATTGAGGTCCAAGTTATAATTCAAAAAAGTCAGTTTAGACTTACCGAAGTCTATTTACAATTAAAATACAAAAGAGTTGGGATAGATCTTAAAATGTTACGATCGATCCCAAGTTCTCAACCAATTTTACTTTATGATACTATAACAAATTGAGTTGTGTGCTAATCTTTATTTTGTGATAACTTTCAATACGGTACTGAAATGTACGGTATTCTTACTCTTAAATAGAGGATACTGGAGTATTTGTCGGTAGAAGGTACTGTGAACATCAAATAAATGTGATTTAATAATTGTACTTGAAATCATAATAATGAAAATATCTTATTGGCATGTCTCTCTCTCTCTCTCTACCAGATGGGCATTGATAAAGAATGAGACTGTGTATCAGAGAATGTTGCAATATACTAGGGAAAACAGCTTTGGTGTTTCTCGTGACACTCAATTAAGAGCTTTGAAGCTACTAGAAGTGGTTCTTGAAGGTGAAGGAAAAGAAATATTTGATTTTGGATACAAGACAATGAAGGACCGCTGGGAGAAATTGAGTAAGATTTTGTCGGTTTCAAAACGATTTTCTATCCAACAAATTGCTCCTCGATACTGTACTTACTTCCAACAAGTCAGAGGACCTTCTCCAGGTGATTCTCATTTTAAAGATCTCTCTTTATTGTTGAGAATACTAAGTACTTTCATCTCCTGACCATTATATCACGTGCTAATCATGATTATTTGATTAAAGAGTGAGAGAAAAACAGGGGAATTGTCATTGTAACATGTTGAAAACAATGCAATTGACCAGAATCTATTTCATGATGTTCAGACAAAAATTTAATATTTTTGAGATAGATGGTGTTAAATACCGAGAAGTATGATTGGGTTGATGAGTTGTGAGTTAAGTGCATGAGCAGTAAGTTAAAGCAAGTAAGGTTGTATAAGTATTAGAATTGTTCTTGCTGCTGAAGTGCCTATTATTGCATGAGAAAGAAGATGAGTACAATAGGGTTTTTGTTCGTTTAGGGCACTGCCTTGGGTTACCCGTTTAAACAGTAATCATTGCTTTTTATAACAGATTTGTAAAGAAATATTTGGGAAATAGTTGACTATTAAGAGGCCTCCTGTCCAAGGTATGATGTGGCTTTCTAGAAACAATGACCCGTGCCCAGGGTAGAGGTGTAATGGTGGAATTTTTCTTTTGCCCTTCTTAGGTAGATCCCAATTTTAGAGCCAGTTTTGATTGGGGCTATAACTTGGGGACCCTGACCTGGACTGTCTCAGGTAAGATCGGCATGTGGTGACTCGAATGTTTAGTGTGACGTGTCCTCTGTCTTGATTGCCCCTTTTTCTCTGTTGCCCCTTTTGATGTACAAACTAAGCTCAAAATCTTGTTTTGGTGCGTAGTTTCAACAACGTAGAAATGAAAACATTTCTAAAATGTTTTGGAAACAATAAAAATGTAATTTTGAATCACGGATTCGTTTCACTGAAACCAAAATGTTTTGGTGGAAAAGACCAAGAAATAAAATTTTTGTTCCTTGTCTATAGGCTATCGCTCATACTCCATTTTTGTGGAATTAGGTTGATTGTAGATGTCCATCCATCTTTGTTTGTGTTCTTGTTATTCATGTTCATTCTTCTTAGCAGTCATCTACTAGAAATTAGGATTCTATGTAAGAGCCAAATCATTTATATGCCAAAACTTTATATTTTAACGTCATGCTCATCGCAGCTTATGCTTGGTTCAAATGCGAGAGGGAAGAAAATAAAGACTGTTATGCAGTCCTAAGTGCAGCCGGTATCACGGGGCGCGATGGTAACTTATTTGGCGCTGGAAGTGGATACGTGCGTCTCAGCCTCATCAGGACTCAAGATGACTTTGATTTAATGTTGCAGAAAATGGAAACATTAGTCTCTGGGGAAGATGGCATCGAAACGATGAGGAGAAGGCAATCGACATTTCGTCAATTCTAATCAGATCACACAGAACTCCAACATCAGAATGAGGGTTAACCTCACAAGTAGTGAAGTACATCTTCATAATCCATAATATGAATTGAGGTCACCACATATCTGTGGCATTAGACCATAATTTTTATTTGTCGATGTGTGCAAAATTGAAACGAACTGTAAGATGTAGCAATGACTCTTTTTTCGTATCATCTATATTGTGGGATCGTGTTTGGAACTAGTCCCTCTGTAATGAATGAGACAGGATTGTCCACCACTTAACTACTCTCAGCACTGGACATAACTATTCATACTTGCACTCTTGGACAGCAACAACATACCTACTTTGACATTAAATATAATTATATTTATTGTAAATATAATTATTCTCTTTTATATATTATACACATATAATCACCATTTCCACAGTATATTCTTTTTTCTTGCAAAGTTGAATGTGACATATCTATATTTATATATATATATATATATATATATATATAACTTGTGTTTGATGGTATCTTGTGACATAACTATGATATTATGGTTGATAAAGATTCTTTCCAACCTTCCAATTACTGGTGCTAAAGTCCCCCATTCGTTCCAAATAGATGTAAATGTCCGAACCACATTTTTTTCTACTTTCACAATTCTATTTTCGATCGTTATCTTCCGTTGAAGCACATTTACCTCTATTAAATTTCGATTGAAATCAGTTGTATATTGAGAATTGAGTATTGAGTATTGAATATTTAATCATATAGTTTGGCTCAAAGTTTGCGATGCGGTTGAATTCTAGTTGTAAGTTTCTCATCGCACGACTAGTTTGAATTAAGATTCAAGTTTGAATTTCAACCCGAACTCAAAAGATCTAGACGCCAAAACGCAAATATTAGGCTCATCGAGTTTCCAATTGAAGAGAATACCTATGTGTGTTTCTTTGATATTAACATCCTTTTGGAGCCTTTAAAAAAGCAATACAATTACTTTTGGTGCCTGTGAAACTGGTAAAAAATCACTTATTTATAAAGATTACGTTCATCATCAAGTGTATATATATTACAGAGAATCGAATGTGCTAACCACTTACTCATTTGTGTTTAATCTCAGTTTCACATGGAAGATATTAAAGTGAAATGGAGCATCATCCACTAGGCCATTGGGTTAATGGAGGAGTAAGGTGGATTGTTTTATGTTTCCCCCTTTAGAGAGAGGGGCGAGCAAAAGAGCTCGTTCTTCTATTTTTAGACATTTAGACTAGGAGTGCAATTCAGGTGGGTTGGACGGATTGTACAATCAACTCTAACTCAATTCTAGGTATATAATATTCAACCTTAACTCTAACCCTACCTCAGGTTGGAGAACTCAACCCGAGCACTGCCCGAGTTTAATTCGGGCGGGCTTGGGTTGAATTCGATTTAATGATTTCAGACTGATTTCGGGTTATTTTACGGGTCAATTCGGGTAGAGCCTAGAATAGACTTGTTATTATAAACCTAATACATATATTACATAATATTTACCTAAATTAACAACCAATATCTTCAACCAAGTTTTTAACGAGAGAGGCTGAGAGAACGAGAGAGACAGAGAACGATGGAACAAAAATAAAAAACTAGTGCTAAT